TGCCAGATTATTGGGTTGCACATAAATGTAATGATGTGTGTCTGCATTTTCCTTAATTAAAATCTAACCCGGAAACCATCTGTTCATGGGGATTAACTCTTGGGTCCCAAAGGCCTGCCGTCTAGTGCTGAGTTAATTATGAGCTGCTTTACCACTACTTTTCTTTTTTGCAGTGCAATGTACTTTGAAAGAACGCTTCGGAAAGTGACCCCCCTGCCCCAAATAACATCATTGCATGATTCTGTATTCAGTCCCCTCTTCTAATTCTTGAAGGATTAAATGAAGTTGGCAGAGTGAAGTATGGTAGGAAGCAGAAATCTGAAGTTGATATTTTTATGATACAATGAAATGATAGAACCTTGGCCCACTGCAGGTGGCTAACTGATTTAGGAAAACATTCAATTGTTTGCAATTCACTTGGATTGTTATGGCATCCATGAGGAAATGAATGGTTTTTTTATCACTAGATACACCCGTTTGTGTGCAACAGATGTTTAGCAGAAGAAGTGGGCAACGCAGTGAGCCATCGACATTTCTCAATTGCAGATAGGATATAGCTAATGAAATAGGTTGGAAGACACTGCAGGAAGTCTGTTACGGAACAGCCATAGATTATATCCAGCATTTTTGCTGTTGTTTGTTCAAATAAAAGCTGACCACCTTTGGATCCATATTGTGAACACAAGCTTCTTTGTCCAGAGAGTGTCACAAGATGAATGTTATGGTTGTATTCATCTTTGCCTTGAAGATAATGGCTTATTTAAGTAGCGCTGATTTAAGTAAGAATAAAATGTGACACAGCCATGTTTTATGGGATCATTCAGTTGGAAGAGACCAAAAGGACCACCCAGTCCTTATTTCTTATATAGGCTCAGAAATTGATTACTTGCTAATTGGTGCCGGCATGTTAGCAAGACATGGGAATTGATGCCTTTGTTGTTGAATATTTTTAGTATCCAAACATGTTCTGGTTACGATCAGGACTTTAGTAGTTGAGGTCAGAGATGATTTCTGTTGCCAGATAAGTTACAGATAACAAATCACTTGTGATGATATAGCTTTTTGCCAACTTCATGGGCTGGGTGGACTAAACTGTAGACAACAGCAAGATGGTATTAGTTACGTGGGAAAAACGGGGGGGGGGGGGAACAGTTATTGTGAAGGGACTATTGTATGTTTACCCTTGAACTTCTGAATGTTTTACAATCTTCTGTGTTTGGGTTACAAGAAATCTACCATGCAGTTAAGGTTATTGTGCACTACAGCGAAGAAAAGGATTGTGTTTTCAATGTTGTTATATTTTTCAGACTGCTTTACACAATGTGTACATATTTTTTCCTGTCATTTTGGTTTTATTTTCAGGGATTGTATGTTAATAACCAGGCAGCGGCTACCTGATTGCTATGTTTGCAGTTAGAATAGTTCTGCCGTACTTCAGTTAGGTTGTGTATGCTCACCGTGCAGAAGATATGTTGTATACCCAGTTGTAAACAGTGCTATGACAATTTTGTATTTCTTGCTTTCTCTGTTTTGGAGTGAGCAATTGTCAGAGGTTAGGAGCTGCACAGAATCCCCAGTGGTTGAGGTGGGGGGGGGGGGGCAACTAGCCACCATCCCAAATCCATTCTTAAACAAAAATAGTTCCAGAAAGTCTCTTAATACCCTGGGGATTTGGAGATAAAATTGCTATGTTTTCACTCTGCTGACCGTTTTGGGCCTAAGGAAGCCACTCTTTCAAACAGGAATTTCTGGGGAGGTAATTTTTTAAAAATGGGGGAAGTATGCTGGGGTGCCCCTGGAGATGATCAAAATGGCTTTGGGGTAGGCTGTTGTCCATGGCCAACACTTCCAAATGCCTGCTTTATATGATTCAGAATATACATAAAAGCATCTTCTCCAGCCCCACACATGGATAAGATCCAATGTAGGGCCATGCGAAGTAAGGTCTCTGAGTTCAAGTCCTAACTATAAACTCAACAGATGGTTTTGGAATAAGCTTTCCCAGTTGCAAATAGAAATATCAGTTTTCATTGCAAATCACTTTGTACCAGAAAAGGGCTATCTGAACAATTGTATGTGGTGTTTGCTATTTCATAATACAGGTGGTAAGTAACAAGACTAGCAATGTTCACTGCAATTGGTGTTGATGTTGGCTACTCATTTAAACAGAACTGGTTGCTGTTAAGATGTAGCTGTGACTTGTCTGTACTGTAACAAAGCAGACAAATCATGGGTAAACGTTGCTTTGGTTTAACTTTTACACTAAATAAAAAACTGCTATGCATACATGTCCCATTGAGTCAATAGAACTGAAGTTACTATGTTGGGTTGTTGACTAATTGGTATGTAATACCACATGATTTCACCATACTGAGATGGCTAGTCTCTAGTAATCCAACTAATGCAAATGCTCCTATTATTTTCCATTGATCTTGAGTTTGGGATATTCTTCATGTAATTCCCAGTTAACATTTGCATTATACACTCATGAAAATTACATGTACTATTTTCAAATACTCTGATTTTCAATGTTGGCTGGCGTCCTGTTTGTGACTCATGATAGGAATTATGTCAGATCATAACAATGTGACCAGATTAAAGATGAGTCCCTACCTCATACCCCTGCTCTCCGATAGCGCAGAAACACCCATATTTGGAGTAAGGGCCCTGCTGATTGCCAACTGAGTTTTTGGGAGAACCACTACATCCTGATGAAGAATCTTACCAACATTTAAAAAAAATGAGACCATGATTTATTGACTTGTTTAGTTTGTCCCTCCTGTCATAGTAGATATGGTTTGTTTTTGCATTTGCCACATGTGCTGGAGAACACCACTGGGCTTTCAAAATGAAGAGCAAGGAGCCCTTTGCTTTACCATTTCATCTTAATGGAGACCAACACAGGGAAATACATCAGCTGTGGATAGTAACTACAGTAAGTTGCACTTAGGTGATTTTCTCAGTTTCATACTGTTTAGCAAGCAAATGCTTTTCTCAACATCTGCAAAATGCACCCCAGGTACTTACATATTTTTGAAGCTTCTGTGTGCATCTGAAGGTGTAGCTAGCATATTTTGGAGCATTTTTTTAATTGCAAAACAATACTCTGCAATTTGCAGTTACCATATTTTTCTGCATAATAGTTGCCACTGCATAATAGTCGCACCCCTGTTTAGGGATTGCATAAATAGGTGTTTTTAGTATTCATCACATAATAGCACATCCTTAGTTCACGCACTCACACTTACTCTCCCCCCCCCCCAAACTATGGAGCAGCTGAGTGAAGCCCCATAGCTGGAGATCTTTTCACCACATAATAGTCCCACCCCCTTTCAGTCGAAAAAGGGGGAGAAAATGCAACTATTGCATTATGAAATCCGGTACGTTGCAGAATTTGAATACTGTAAATGTCAAATTGAAAACACACAGACCACTTCAGCAAGAGAGATCCATGTATGTATAGAACAAACTCCTATATGTTGAGAGATGGATTCACAAGTGTGTTTGCATGTACATTTTGATTAGTATTGCATTGTTCATAGCAGTTGTATTTAATTACTTGGATTTGCTACAGTGCAGTTTTCAGTGTTCTTTTATGCAATCAGGGCTATACTTCTACATATACTTGTGTATAAGTCTAGAACTTTTGAGTTCAAAAAGCAGTTCAGAAAACCTGGCTTGACTTATCCACAGGTCACTGTAAGTACTGTACCACTTAACTCTTATACAAAAGGGAACCATCCCCATCTCTGAGTAGAGAGGTGAAAGGTGAGAGCTCAGTCCATCCAGGAGAACCTAAAATAAACACCAACTCTCTCTCCTCTCTCTGCTGCTGTGCCTCTTCTGGCCTTTTTGAATGTCTTGGCAGGGAAATTGCAACAGTGTCAACCAGAGGTAGCATTGGTGCTTTCCCCTCTCTGAAGAATGACTCTTGACTTATCCATGAATTGTATCAAAATCTGTAATTTTGTCCCCAAAACCTGTCCCTGATATACATGGAGATTGACGTATACATGAGTATATATGGTCGTTTTTTGAACATTGTGAAAAAATTGACCACATGCACATTTTGCAGCCTTCCACTCCAGAGAATGACTTCATGCAAGTTTTTTAAACCAATGTGGATAAGAGTTAAATGATATTATTATTTTATTCTACAAAGTTATTTCTGATCTTATGGAAAAAATGGACAGATTCACAATTGAAACAGTGTTTAATATAGTTGTTAAATTACTTAAACAGATTGCAATTTCCATGGGAAATCATAACTGTATCCATTTTTGCAAGAGCCAAATAAAGAGTGCATACCCCTTGAAATGATCATGACACAATCACAGTCAGAGATACAGGCGACTGAAAATTTCATTGACAACACAATCGCGCAAGGTGGTCTGCTCAAATGTTAAGAATGCACACTTTAAAGCAGGAGGCAAACTGAAAACAAAATGATCCTGTGTTGTGCTATTAATTAAAATCTGAAAGTGGTAAATGATGGTAAAAAACAAAGGGTGGAAGGAAGGTGATGAACAAGCTGCAATACTGTATAAAAACCTTTGCAAATCAGATGGGAATTTCTCTAAAGGTTCAAAAATATAGTACAAGGGCAGACTTGGCAGTTTTCTACAAGTCAGGCTATGCTACTGTTCCAGGATATGCCCTATTGCAAAGGAAGGGATTGAAACAAGAGCGAGAGGCTACTGAAATTCTAGTTTAAAACAGGTCAATGCTACAGTTGTGTTGAGCATTATGACAACTTCACTGAGACCGTGGTTTTCATTCCTTGGTCAAATATAGAAACAAAAGCCCATGCTTTAAATGCCAGCAGTGGGCAATCCTTAGGTTATGAACATTATGGAAATTCTGCCCTGAGAGAAGTGGAAAAAATAGTCAAAAGTTTGTGTCATTTTGAGACAGCCAAATTTAATATCAAAATCCCCCCTGACATATAAAAATATAGGCTTTTCATGCGTTTATATATTTTAATAAAATACGGAGGGAAGTTTGCCTTTAAAAGTTCAAAATGTATTTAATTCAGTAATGCATCTATTAAGAATTCCTCTCTTTCTTTTAACTCAAGACCCTGGCCCTCTTTTTTTCCAACTTGTTCAACAGGAGAGGACAGCACAATATCCCCATAGGCTCTAGCAATGGTATTAATTGTTTGGTTCTGAGGGGGGGAAACCGGCTTAAATCTTCGAAGTGCGTTCCACAATCAGTGCAAACTAAGAATAAAACTTTCACAACATCAGTCCAAGAGTGCAAAAAAATTCTAGGTAAGATTCCGCAGAAGCACTACAGGCAGTTATTACACGAGTTGTAAACATACAGTCTTTCAAAAAGAAAATCTTGCCTCATCTGCTGTTGTTCAAATACACAACAGAAGTGGTGGTCACTATAATTCCTCACAAATAACAATTTCAAAATTGTTTCTTGATTACTTCTTGAACTCAGCTCCTTTTAATACCACTAATGGATGTGGTTATTCTAGCTTTTTGGTTTTCCTTGTCTGCGTAATCATAGTTTTCATGCACTTCATTTCCTCAAAACAAACTCAAGCATCCCTTCGTTTGGGGTTGTTATATTTCTTTCCTGGCCTGTACAGGGTTTGTCTGAAAACTGCCAAGTCTGCAATTCAGAAAATAATGAAAAGAACGTCACACAATTCAACAGCTTATGTACATCTCCCACTTGCCCTGTGTGCACAGCCCCACGGCTGGGCCAGAACTGAAGGGCAGAAACATTGCATAGCCCTGACCGACCCTCAGAGGGAACCAGGTGGGGGGAAAGAGAGTGTGTGGGTTTGCCCTCAGCAACACTTGACCCCCTTTCCAAATACCAGGAATCTTCACTGATGGTGATGCCATAGAAGTGGCTCAGATGCTAAGGGGGTGCTAGACAGAGTCCAAATATATCTGCTCTGCCTCACAGTTGGCAAATGCCACTCGAAGGTGCCAGGGCTAAGCTAGTTGGCTGCATGGCAGTGGTCCAACCCTGCTTCACATCCCTTCACAAAGCAATTGGTGCACCCCACTACAAGTGGATTTCTTCTTGTGTGCCTGTTCAGAGAGTTTACAAAATATAGAATTTGGATGTATTAGAACTCAATATTGTCTATATTAAAATCCTTTAAAAAGCCCACACCAAAACCAGCAGTCCCTCACACTTTAGCGAAATCTCCCTGTCCACGTGTTTCATGCTAATAGTTAATCATTCACATGTAAACAGATATGCGCCAAACAGGAGCACCAAGGCCTTTTCATGTGATGAATATGCTTGAAGAGTCATTTTTCTTCACCTTAAGCAAAGCTTCTCTCTCTCGCTCTCTCTCTTTCTCTCTCTTTAACGCATCAGTCTCGGTAAAAAGAATAAGCCTCACATCTAGTGTAGGGACGGCAGAAGTACATGACAAGGCATCTTTTTCCAATGTAAAAACCTTACTCGTGGCACTATTAGGAAGGCCCCTTGAATACAGCAGTAGTGGGTGGCATTGTAATTTTCAAAGCCCACTCAAACACCTAATAAAAGAACAGTGGCATACTTCAAGGAGCTGGACAGCACGGACCAGAAATAGTATGGAAGTGCACAGCCTTTCCAAAGTAATGCTCTTCATTTTTTCTCCTTTTGTCACAATGAATCATACTTTCCTTCAACCAAGTAAAAACATTGTGTTACTTGAAATAAATACTTAAATATCTTAAGTCCTGCTTAGCAGCCTCCTTGAAGATCTTAAATCTGTGTCTTCAAATTCCATTAAGCATAAATCTTTGGTCAATTCACTTAACGTTTAAACTTGGAGGGGGCGGGGAGATCCACAGCAGCGCTAGGTAACTTCTGAATGGTGTGCTCTGTAGCCCAGACTGGGTTTTTTTTCCCCTTGCACACAATCCTGCTAGGAAGGCATCACATGAAAGCCTCATCCATGCCTTTGTATTCGATTCGCTGAAGAACAGCAGGTTTTTCTCCAATTGACTGAGGTGTTGGAATCAAACTGAGCCATTCTTGAGAGTCCCTTTTGCCCACTGCTGCTAACTTGCTGATGGGCCTTCATTTAAGAAGTAGGTAGTCATTTCTCCTTTACCTTTGACCTTAACAACCCCTCGGCATTCTAGCTGATAGTTGTTGACCATTAAAACCTGATACATGTCCGTGGTCACCTGTGAAAAGGAAGCATCAGGGATAGAAAAGCAGAAGTAATTACACTTCATGCAATCGAACACAATACTTATGGGGGCAATGAAGACTACATCAAAGTATACTGGAATTATGCCAGATGAAACTTCTCACATTCATGGTGTTCACTATGAACTCACAAATGGACAGTGGTAATTTAGACACACATTTTTAAGGAAGTTTATATCCTAGGCACTTCCACATCAATTTCTGGTTAGCTTATTTACTGAAACTAGATATGACCAAACTCTCTCAGGGAGCATTAGACAAATGTACGAGAAGAGGTCATTGGGTGAGTTAGTGGAGTGTCTCCAGATAATGGCCAGCCTTTAAACCAGTTTGTGGTAGCATGGCCTCTACTACTTTCCATTTTTTTGGAAATGCCTGACTGGACATGGGGGATATATCAAAATGCATACATGGCAATCTTTCATCCTTTACATTACCTATGAATTGTGGAAATGTTCCTAAGATAACAATTTGAGGAGATGGGAGAGGAATAGCTGCCAGAAGACTCACCTGAATCCTATCAGGCACTCCTGTGCTGTCCATGCGACTGGCTACATTCACTGTGTTCCCCCAAATATCATACTGGGGCTTACGTGCACCTATGACCCCAGCTACCACTGGACCAGCATTGAGTCCTAGAAAAGACAACATAAGGAGTTAGGCACAGGCGAGCAAATGGTTTTGTACACACTGTCCTTGCAGTATCACAGCTGGAAAGGGACTGCAACGATCCAATGAATTGACTATATATTAAATGAGAAATCTATTAACTTTTTGAAAGAACTGTGCCATGCACTAAAGGGCCATGTCTAATTTCCATAGTAGGTGGAATGTAATATATTAATAAGAAGGTACCAACCTATTAATTATTGTACTTTCCACACAAAAACTCTGTTTCTGAAATTATTTATTAAATATAGAAAAACTACTTACAAAGTTGATCTTAAAATTGCAAAAAATGTAAAATTATAGACCTATTGCTGGTAGCTCTGTTCAGATATATATACACCAACAAAGCTTTATATTTCACCGGCCGCAGGAGCCTGGCCTGTTAACACCTTATGCCCTAAACACCTTATTCTCACTTGAACTTTACTAGTTCAAGTAAGAATTTTGACACCCATCTCTGTTATTGGACTGCAACTATTAGCTATGCTGGCTAGAGCCGATGAGACAATGTGGTTCCCAATCCTGCTTTGAAATGATGATAATTTAGTAACAGGATGATGAATTGTATAAAAGCACACTATTGTCTGCAAGCCACCCATGACTAATCTGTTGCCAATTCTTAAAAGATTTTTCATAAAGGAAAGCCCTACAGTTCCATTGCACCCCCCATTTTGAACAACTTCTGTTAAAATTCCACATTAACTCATCTGGACTGGGAATTTTTCTTCATGTCAACATAAATGGGAGGATACTACAGTCATGGGAACATAGTTACATTATAGATGTTATAACCCCTGGTGCAGGATCTCAGGCACCATTTTAAAGTACTTCCAGCTTTCAATATGAAATTTGCATTTTTAACCATGCAGGATGCCCCCCCTCCCGGATGAATCTCAGCAGAAAAAAAAAACATAAAAATGGCGTTTACCTATTTTCATCTGGAAGTTGTTGAATGAGTGCTCGTTAATGTATTTCATTTGATCCATTAACTTCATTGCAAAGTCAGCCAGGGCCTTGATATGTGTTTTGCCCACTTTGTCATAAGTGGAATCATTCAGGCCAGAAGCAGCCATGTATGTGCTGCCTATGGTTTTGATCTTTTCCAGCTGTCGAAACTGGTCCTCACTTATGATCTGCAGTCAAAAAGGGAACCAAGTTAGCAAAAATGCATGTGTCACTCAGTATATGACATATGCTTCCTGTATGAGTATGCAAACTGTATTATGCAGATGGCATCTTGCAGGCCTTATGTTCCCATGTGGATGCCATATAAAGGGTATGAGACTAATTTACTCTGAATAGGATCATGTTTCAGCTGTCATGGCCAGATTATGCTTTGCATCACTGTAGTCGTTTGAGGGATAGTCTCAGAGTCCAAGGAACTGACACAAGTTCCTTCCATGATATGTGGAAGACTTACAGGACATAAGTCTTATTGGATCTTTCTGGCTGGAAAAGATTCTTCAGGAATGAAACATTGTCTGCCTTAGCAACATGTCTGAATGAGTATATTGTACAACAACACTAAAAAGAGTAAGAACAGTGAAGTATAGACAAAGATGTCACACAAGTTAGACATGCAGCGCACCAACCTTGGTGCTGTCCAGCTTCAATCCATTCATTTGTTATCTACCACCTTTCCTTAGAGCAATTCCTTCTCCATTTCTATCTCCACTGCTATCTTGTGAGGGGTACCATGCTGAAAGAGTGGGTGTTTATCTCAAGGGTATAGCTGAATTGAGACCAAAACTCAGGCCTCCCTGGTATTTACTCAGCACTGGGACCATCACAGAACCTTATTACAGTTGGCAACGATATCTCACCTCATCGAAGTCAGCAATGATTTCATTAAGGAGCCTCAAGCACTCCACCCCTTCGTTGTTGGCTTCCAATTCTACGTAGAACTCTGAGAAGTTGCAGATGGAAGCAAACATGACAGCCACGCACTCACAGGACTGGTAATACAGCTCATCGTTCCTCCGCTCCTGCGCAAGAAAGTGGGCTGCCACATCCTTTGGCAAGATGTTGTGGAGAAGCCGTCTGTTGTAGGCCTGTAGTTCCTCCATCTCCTCTTTTTCTTCAGTGGCCTATGCGAAAGAGAGAGAGAGAGAGAAGAGATTGGGAGGGAGAGATGAAGTTCCAATGAGGTGCATTCAGGCGAGACATGAGCTAGAAACAGATATAAGACTTAATATTAGCAACAAAATCATGTGTCAAATACCACTGGAACCTGATTTGGATAATACCTGCATGGATTAACTCAAATTATGTGCTGTTTTTGCAAAAAAATAAGAAGGGAAAAATATCACTTCTTTTCAGTGTGTTTTGCAAAACTACTGCACAAATACAGAGAACTTTCATTAGTTCGGATTTTATGTACTGATGGCCAGTGAAGTAATCACAACAAAGGGAGCCCAGTTAGTGGTAGAAAACAATTTTGTTGTATTTCACCATCTTGGCAAAAGTAGCTATTTTGTACCTCACAAGGAAATTTCACCCAAAACATGAACATTTGCAAGGCTTATTGAGTCTTTTGGGGAAATAGTTTGCACGAAACAAGATGCACAAAATCTGTAATATCTACATATGTAAACAGCTGAAAAAATAAGCACAAATGTTTCATTTTAAAAAAGATCATGTTTGCTGTTGTTATATCCTTGAAGTTCAATCCAATTATGACAATCCTATTCCAAGGTTGGTGGGTTTCTTGAAAGATTTATCCAGAGGGCATTGTTCTCCTCTGAGGCTGTGACTCTGTGATTTGCCCACAGTCACCCAGTGGGTTTCCATAAATCAGTAGGGAGTCAAAGCTTGGTCTCCTAGAGTCCTGGTTCAACATTTGAATTATTACACCACACTACTCTTCAAGTTCCTGTGTCTTCATGTCTACTCTGACTTTTATAGCTTTATCTTATTTTGGCAAGACCTATTCTAGAGAGGTTTGCCATTACTTTCCTCTAAGGCTGAGAGAATATGATTTACCCAAGGTCACCCCTTGGCCCAGTTCAATGGTTCTAGGCTGAAACCCAAGCCACTACACAGCACTGATTCTCTAGAGCAGTGGTTCTCAACCGGTGGGTCCCCAGATGTTTTGGCCTTCAACTCCCAGAAATCCTAACAGCTGGTAAACTGGCTGGGATTTTTGGGAGTTGTAGGCCAAAACACCTGGGAACCCACAGGTTCAGAACCACTGTTCTAGAGAAATTTGTACATTAGATAAAGTGTGGAAATTAATGCTCAAATTAGTCAAGAATGCTTACAGATATCTATTACGCCAAACCCTTACAATCTAACATGAACAAGATGGCAAGAAAATGTAGATAAGATGTGAAAAACTACATCAAAATCAAAGCTGAGAGGTTTTCAAATCCTTTGTCTTTTATTCCATGCCATTCTATGTGGTTCTGACTTGATAATATTCAAAATGAAACTAATTCAGAGAAATAGGGCTGTAGATACAGGTTGGATGGTGTCCTTCAAGAGCATCAAACAGTGCAGAACAGTTTCTTTTAAAGAAGCTTCAAAATACAAAGTGGTGAGGTTGTGGGTACGGCCCTCCAAGAGCTGTTGGGGATTGAGGAAAGGCGGCCCCCCAGGTTGCCACAGTTGCCACCCTTTGATAGAGGTTTCCTTTGATTTATGAGTACATGGCTGTAACAGCCTGAACAGCAAACATATCCTGATTATGAAAGACCTCTCAAATAATATAATATTCAAAAGCACACACCTGAAGCTTCCAGAGGAAATCAAGCCGTGCTGTCGACTCCACCTGCTGAGCATGGAGATAGACCGCCAACACAAACACTGTGATCACGACAGGGGTTACAATCTTGAGGGCCACCCGGGACACACTTGGAGGACTACATTAGACATGAAAACACACCAGTCTGAATATTCGCAGGCGAGAGTCATTCAGCTGGAACACTACAAGCAAATGCAAGCAACTTTTCAGATGTTTGTGTTGCAGCAGATTCTGGTCTAGCTATTGGTCAGCGAAATTCATGAATTATTCATGCCTCTCATCTCATCATTATGTGAATCAACACATTGTTTCTCCATTCATCCAACATGAACATTGAAGTCCAAGCATTCAGATTCAGCTTTATGTATGGATAATGCATCATTCTCTAATGTCTTTTGATTACTGTAGGAGCCAGGTGTGTTGCGTCATAAGTTCCTCTACGGTGAGAAATAAAAATCTTGCAGAATCTCCAGATTTGATGCATTTAATTTCTTTGCCATTGAATGGCTGGGGACAGGACATTTAAATATAATTGCCTTTGCTCTCTCTCTCTCCTCCAACCTTGTAGTCACATTCCTTCTAAACAGCATGGTGACATTGCAACTGGCTGTATTTAAAGCTGGTTTCAAATCCCAATTTAAGCTAAATCTCTGAAAAGCATTAACCAAAAGAGTGCTACTGATAGCTCTGTAAGAGTGCAAAATGTATGCATATATACATCTCTACCGCAGCTGAGGGGTGTGTGATCCCACAATTCCAACCATGATTAAGGAGTAGGACATATTAATGTCTGCACTAATCATAACCATCCATGACTAAAACTACGTTTGACCCATTGTATTTGTGGGCGCCAGATCCATGGATTCAAAATGTACAGTATGGTATGCAATATACAATAGGAATAGCAAACAATGCTGGGTGGAAACAAATGTGAGGCTCAAGAGATACTGAGGATCTGTTAAATGGCAAGAGGCATGGATTGTGCTGAGCACTACACTCAACCGGTAGATTCCTGTCATTTCATTGATTCTCAGTCTCATGTCTCTCATTCATTCATAATTTCTATGTCTGAATAAGAAAGTACATATAACTGCCATATTCACTCGAATATAATGTAACACACACCTCCATTTTGAAGGTGCAGATTACAAAAAAGGATTTGATATCGAATGTAATGCACCCAACAATACAGGCACAGTGCATCTGGGAGGCAGGCAGCATGAATGAGGCCATTTGGGAAGCCACACCCCGCTAACAGGTTTTGTATTGTTATATTGTGTGTTGAGACCTTGGCCTTTGTAAGCCACATCGAGTCCTTCGGGAGATGCTAGCGGGGTACAAATAAAGTTTAATAATAATAATAATAATAATAATAATAATAATAATAACAACAACAACAGGCGAGTCAGGTGAGCATGTCAGCTTTGCATGGTTTTCAACTGGCTTCAGTCACAAGGCCTTCAAAACTGAGGGGGAAGAATCACCAGTTGGGAGCTCCCACTCCTTCTCTGATGCCACAGGGAACAGTCTCTTTGCATGCCCCCTGCCTCTGGGGTTTTGGGTTCCTCTGAGCCTTTTCACGTCCGCGATTCTAATGTGCATCTAAATCTAATGTGCACCTCAATTTTGACAACATAATTCAGCCAAAAAAGGTGAACATCAGATTTGAGTAAATGTAGTATTTATATAGCATTCACATTTTATTTGATGTTGAAAGTGATCTAGTAAAAGAAAGCATACAGGAGTGTGTGTTTACAAATATAGTATGTCCTATACTAGTTTATTTAAAGGACTTAATCCTCTCTGGATTTTGGGATCCATGGGAGTCCTGGAACCAACCCCTGATGGATACAGTGGCTAAATGTATGCACATTTTAAAAAGGAAAATTAGGGTCTCCTCCACCCCATAACTCACCACATTCCATTTGATGTCCCATTGGGAAACACACTGAAATGACAAAAAAAGACAGGTTTTAGACATGTTTAATTTGCTATACCATATGTAGTTTGCTATACCATTAACGTCTTCTGTGCTCTCTAGGAACTGTCTGTTTCCTCCAGGTGATTCTATGGTGTGCTTCCACCAGAAGTTACCATAGAATCACCCTGGAGAATGTAGCAAATTCATATTGAGGATGCATCTAGGAATGTTCTAGATCCGCCTGGTCAGCCCTACGGCATTGTGCAGCAGAAGTCATTCATTTCAATAGGGTTGACTATTATCCAGAATTTTCTGTTTTCATGGTAAGTACAGGGATCTACCCCCCCACACACACACACACTAATAAGGGGATCGTACTGTGTGTATATTTTTGTTAAAACAGTTGTGCACAAACAACATTACTATGCAAAGGCAGCTGGAAGGAAATCCCCAGCCTCACTGTAAAATATTAATCAAACATATATTTTATAGTTTGTGCCATTGACATGAGCAACAAGGCCATTTTATATTTTGTGTATGCCTCATACTGAATGCATACTGCACTGAAGCAAAGGGAGGCATCCTGCATAGCACCGTGTTACCATAGCCACAAGACATATCTTTTAGTGCAAGTCCCACTGCTTTCAGTGTAAACATATTTCTAAACACAGTTAAGATTGAAGATGAGAGTCTTGCAGCGTAGAGAAATATGTGGTAAATTGAAGCAAAAGAGAGAGATCCTACATTGTGTCTGTGTGCAAACCCTGCTGATGTCATCAGGGCACCCTTCCGCTGCCCATCAGTGGCTGCATTTTGCAGCTGAAAGGGAAAGAGCCATTATCATTCCTGTTGGAGGCCCTCTCTTTTCATTTGAAATAAAATGGCAAAGGACTAGTTCCCAGCATCATCCTTGTCCCCACTGGCCATTTCCTCTCTACTGAATCTCAGGAATAATAGCTGATTTTGCATACAAGGCTGTTGTTGATCACTGATGACATATCAATCTTAATGACACAGTTCTCTCCCTTCTCAATCCTTCGTGTTCCCCATGTCCCCCAACTTCTATGTCTTGACTGCCATATACCATTCCCCTAACATATTTAAAAAGATTCTCAACTTCATCTTCAATACTCATATGCATGTATGTTTTCTTGAAATACAGAGCAAGTGGATAACAGCTCACTTCTGCACAGATATGGTTATGCTAGGATTAGAAGTCCTGATTTCTGGTGGGTCTCACAATCTTGGCAAGAAAGGTGTCTGCTACTGAAACTTTTTCCCCCTTGTCAACTTCAAACAACTTGCTTTTTTCTAGTTCTTTCCACAATTGTTCTGGAAAGGTACAGAATGTGCATACATCCTCAGCTTTTCCTTCTCCCAACATTTGAAGGATCTGCTTTGCTTGTCTCCAAACAGCTCTTTCTTCAAAGGACAAAGGGAGGAGTAGGTGAACTTGACAATTCTGAGACAGATCTGGCACAATTTTAGATCATTCCACCCCAGCAATGAAATGCTGAGACATACTTCAAAATGAGTACGAAATACAAGAGCCTCAGCTTTATAATTCTCCATATGCATTTGCTGAGAATTAAATGCTGATGTTTTGATTGGATTTATTTAACTTACAACCAGTCTTTTCCTCCATGTAGGACGGTAGGGAGCTTACAGTACAAGATTAAAACAAAATAGTTTGTTTCAGTGCTTTGTAAGTTCAGAGGATTCTTGATGGAGGGTCATTTGGCAGGACATTCTGCAATTGAATGTCGAGTAATAGAGGAGAGAACAGCACCTCCAAAACATCATATCCACCATCCCAGGGAAAAGTCCTCCCACAATGGCACAATGGCACATTTATGCTGAAAAATCAGACTGCTGTTAATTCTCTCCAGTAAACACACTGGATTCTAGTGTCATGAAGACCTTCTGTGAATTAGGTGGAATGATTAAATAATAAAAGCAGCTGTTTCACATCACTGTTACAGTTTTTCACTCTGAACACTATGTGGAGCCATAACCACTTCCAAAGAGTTTCTTCTACTAGTAATTTCACATGTACTGCTATGCAGGGGTAGCTCTGTTAACAACAAAAAAATAAAATAAAGGTGATACTAGTATTAATGCAAGAGGGTCAGTCTTTGCATTTAAATTTCATTTTCCCTTTGAAAAGGGAAATGCTTCAGAAAAACTGAAGTGTTAAGTCAGAATACTGTAAATCTATGCTATGCAAACCAGGGGAAGAATTCAATAAAGTAAAGGTGATAGATGGGTGGAGAAATCGATCAAATCCAGTGTGTGAGAATACAATAAGACCCTCTTATTAGCAGACTCAGTATCACCTACCCTCACTCCAAAATATATTTTGCGTGTTTGTGAACTTTTCTAGGTCCTCCAGTCTGATTCTATGGGCTGCCTCCAGCCCACATCACTATTATCCATGTTTTCAGGTATCCATGGCTGGGATGGGGTCTTGGAACATATCCCCAGCAGATACAAGATTTGTACTATGTATATGAGTGATCCTTTTCAAGCTAGAAATCATGGTCCTAGAATGGTCAAGCTGTTTGGAAGGAAGCATGTCTATAGTATTCCATGAACCCATATAGCCTGTCTGTTCAGCTGTCTTTTCATTTCTTGCTAACAGCAACATAAATTTGCCTCATAGTTTTGTGTTATTTCTTTTCTCAAGCTTTCTCTGTTCTCAAACTTTTTTCTTAGACCCTGTCCAAAATTTGAGACACTTGGTGCTAAAAATGTGGTGCTGCTGAGATGCATTACTCTACCCTCATCTGGACACTCTGAAATCTTATTTACATGGCTCCAGTTCCATTGTTTTCCTACTCAATCCTTCAAAGTTTAAAAGAATGGTGTAGGAGGGGACTTGTTAACTTGCTTTCCAAGTTCATTTTATCTAATCATATTATTTATCTCTCTACCTTAATGAGCCATTTATTCACTGAGTGGCACCTCCTCATGGGCCTTACTTTTTCTTCCTCTAATTCAGACACAGTGTCAGCCTTGCAAGGAGATGAGTTGTGTTACCTTGAACGTTGCTGCTAGGCTCATCCTTTTCCACTGTGTCGGAACCTGAAAAAGTACTTTAAACCTTTTTAAAAACTTTTATTTGTTCTAGTATTTGGGGGAAAAACTACTTGCCATTTCTTTTTATAGTAGTTGCACAATGCAGTTATCTATTACTGTTATTCTATTCATTGCATTAAATATTTTTAAAATATTTTTAAATTGGGACTAATAAAGAAATTATATAAAACTTGGAAAATGACACAGTAAAAGTCCTTAATGTTCTCTACAAGGGTAACTGTAGTAATAATAAAATCAGAAAAAGTTGCTTGTTACATCATAAAACTTCAAGTTGTCATGGTTTGCACTCGTTGTGACTCACAATATGTCCAGGAAAGCCTGGTGCTTGGTACCTGGCAATATATTAGAGACGTCTTCTCTATACCTACGAAGCTAAATGTGTTTGACAAAAGTAAAAGAGTTTCTAAGTGGACAGATCATAATGCTATCAATCCTGTTATCTTGTTATGTCCTTGTAACTAGTTAATAATTCTATTAACTCATGGCTTCTATCTTCTGTTATATACTGCTTCATTTGTTTAAGGAGGTGAGAAGACATCTGTATAATTTGCTAATTAGTGTGCATGCTATATAAAGTAATGAAGTAGATTAGACAGATACCTAATGAAATGGCTATAAAATGGTGTCCTCCTCATTTGAAGTAGGTCTACCTAGACTGTGGCTGTCTGCCTGGGAAAAATACTTTCCACAGGCCATAAATGGTCTGCCATGCAATGAGGCCATAACCATAAATGGAGCTTTCACAGCAAGCAAAAATCATTTAATAAGTGTTGAGACTGCAGCTTCAAGTTTTATTTCTGGGAAAAACCTGCTTATTTATTCCACTTTATTACTGACATCTTGATTGCGAGGTGATGGAAATAATTGCTTGTAAGTGCTCTAATTCAGCCTTCTCTGGGTTTTATCTAAGTTCCTCCCAATATAAAAATGTCAAATGATTCCTTGAAGTGCCTGCCCCTAATTTGCCATCAATTTTCTCTTATGTTAAAGGTAGAAAACACATCCAGGTGGATTGATGTCAGGAAAGCAATTAAAAATAGAGAAAGAGCATGGCCATTGTTAAGGTAAAGGTAAAGGTTTCCTCTGACATTAAGTCTAGTCATGTCTGACTCTGGAGGATGGTGCTCACCTCCAAGAGCTGGCGTTGTTTGTAGATACCTCCAAGATCACATGGCCAGCATGACTGCATGGTCTACTCACATTCGCATGTTTTCGAACTGCTAGGTTCGCAGAAGCTGGGGCTAAGAGCGGGAGCTCACCCTGCTCCCTGTATTTGAACTGCCAACCTTTCAGTCAGCAAATTCAGCAGCTCAGCGGTTTAACCCACTGCACCACCAGGAGGCCTGGTTATTGCTAAGGCAGAGGGGATATTTTGTAGCTGCCTTGGCTTTACTCACTTAAACAAGCAAGTCATCAGTGGTTGTTCAGTATTTGTGAAGGAGGAGCATGGCACAAAGATACACTGGGATCTCTGGATGATATGCCAAGGCGTGTCCAATCACCCAACAGGCATGTTTGTGAATGTGCCTTCAAGCTGTTTGTTGACTCATGGAGAATCATAAGATGTTAACTGTAGAGCAGGGTGATTTTCCCCACCACATATACATACTGTTGCAGCTTAAATATCTTCAGAGGACTTGGAAACGTCCCAGATTCATTTTTTCCAGTGGTGCCGAATCATTACTGTTGTTGTTATGTTTAGTTATATCCTGCTTTTTCTCTCCACAATGGTGGCTCAAAGCGGCTTGCTATTATTAATGTCCTGCATTTTCTCCAGTTCAGGATTCAAGGTGACTTACAAAACAAGCACAGTTAAAATTTCCAGCATTGAATTATATTTAAAAAGTTAAAATTAAGTTCAGAAGGCTGTAGCGGGAAAGTGAGATAATGAACATCCCATTGCACCATGGATTGGCTGTTGGTGTGACAATGAATTTGGGCCATAAAATGGAAATGAAATAGTAGTTCTGAGCCACAAAATAGACCTTATTGACCCGGTCGAGGAAATGAGAGGATTGTATTTTGAATTGGAACATCTCTCTCTCTCTCTCTGATATTTTAGATTTAGGAAAGAGTTTAACTCAATTCCTAACTTGTAGTCTGAAGTGGCATAGTTCACCACTTCTGCATTGTACCACCTTGCTTCCTCAATAGGACTACGCCAACAGTTTTAGAGCAATTATTTCCACAGATTAAGAGAGATTGTTTCAACTTGCTCAACCCCACTTCCTACAGTGCCATGGTACTACGGAGCCCCCGGTGGCACAGTGGGTTAAAGCACTGTGCCGGTAGGACTGAAGACCGACAGGTCCCAGGTTCGAATCCTGGGAGAGGCGGATGAGCTCCCTCTATTAGCTCCAGCTGCTCATGCGGGGACATGAGAGAAGCCTCCCACAAGGATGATAAAAACATCAAAAATCATCCAGGCGTCCACTGGGCAACGTCCTTGCAGACGGCCAATTCTCTCACAACAGGAGCGGTTGCTCCTGACACGACAAATAAAAAGTGCCATGGTTATTTGGTACTACATAGGAATCACATCTGTAAACTAAAATAATTTTACAGTTCCATTGAAAATGACTTATTTTCAGGTGGATGGATGTACATAATATTAGGGATGTGAAATAATATTTAACTAGAAAATTCTGGGGACAAGCCCTTTGTGTGTGTGTTTTGTCATTCCTCCAGCCATCTATTCTTTGTTGGTTGAATAAGACCAAATGGATCGAAAAAGAGATCTGTTAGTAAGCTTCCAGCATGACTAAGGTGCAAGGTTCCTGTCTGACACAAAAGATACACATATGAATCTCATCTGAGACCTCAATAGTGATAACACATAACATTCAAATTATAACTTTCAACAAAATAAGGAGAGAGGACTTAATAACTCATAGTGGTGACTCAGTTGTTGACACTCCACAATTCTTCTGTTTATGTGCATCTGGCTATTTGATGAATAATAATAATGTTTTAATGTATTTTAATCAATGTTTTATCTATTGCATAATATTGTTGTAATGTATTTTGTACGTTGTCGGCATAGAATTGCTGCCATTGTAAGCTGCCCAGAGTCCCCTTTCAGGGGTTGAGAAGGAAGGGGTAGAAATGCTGGAAATAAATAAATAAATTAATTAAAAAGCCTCAGGTTTAGTTCAGGACAGTAGATAAGATGGCAAGCGTGTTTCTGGATTGGTCCAGTCCGAACTGGAGTTGAAGGCTTACATGAGTGAATTCCCGCCCTGCTCCCCTTCTAACCAAATCAGGATATATTCTCTTAGATAGAGAATATTCAGTCTTGAAAATCTCCTCTTTGACCTTGAAGGAGCTGGAGGTGGCTACGGCCAATAGGGAGCTCTGACGTGGGCTGGTCCATGAGCTCACAAAGAGTCCGAGTGAATAAACAACAAAAAATCATCTCCTCTTGCAGTCTGAAATCCATACTCATCTAAACACATGACTTCAGGTTGGACTGTCTGTCCCCAGGTTTATAAGACACATTTACAAGTTTCTATGAGCGAATCTTTGCTTCCACTTACATTGCATTGGCTGTAACCAGGAGATCTGCATTATCAAAGAGGGTAAGCCCCGGCACTTCCACAATGAGTACATATATAAATTCAATAATCAACATCAAAATGAGTTTCCCGATGCAGCTGATCTGAAGGAACACAGAGCAGGCCAGGAGGCTCAGTAAGACACTGTAGGTAAAATACTGTGAAGAGGGAGAAAGAAAAGGAGACGAAAAATGGAAAAGTCAGTAAAGCTGAGTACAATATCCATCAAACAATCCATCGAACACCGCTTAAGAAGGAAGGATCTTTATTTAAAATGAACATTCTATGGACAGAATTCAACATGGCCATGTGGTCTGGCTGTGTTGTACCCCATCTTGAGCCATGAGTAAAGGCAGATTATTATTATTATTATTATTATTATTATTATTAGCTGCATGGATATGGTAAACATCCCTTACGGGTGCAGATATGGGTTTTTGGGTATTCCTGGGGTTTGTATTCCCTTCCTCCCTAGGCAGCACCCAAAGTCCCTCTCCAAACTAATTTTAAAGCCCCATTACCACCTCACATGGCAACTGCACAATGAATATAGAAGCACTAAGACCTTCAGATGATCCTAGATCTCATTTCTATTGTCATAATTATGTGGTGGATAGACAAACCTTCTCAAATCCCACTTGCTCAGGTTGAAGAGTCTAGGCATGGGCAATCTGTGGTTCTAAATGGTTCTAAAGTACTTAGAAAACTAGAGGGTGCCGGGGTTGCTAAAGTTCTGGTGGTGAAATTTTCAGAACTCTAACAAAACTTACAACATTTCATTATTATTTCATTTTTGGTGATTTTTATGACAGAACCAATTAGGAACTTCCATTTATAATGAAAGTTTTGTTAGAGTTCTGAAATTTTCACCGCCAGAACTTTAGCAACACTATAGAAGCAAAGCACCAGCGCCCTCTAGTTTTCTAAGTACTTTAGAACCATTTAGAGCCATGGATTACCCATGCCTATTAAAGACTTGGGAGAAGCTGCTTTGCTTTTATACTTTACACTTTTATATATAAAGTTTGCTTGAGGACATTTATGCTACACTGACTGGCTATTGATTTAAGGCTATTGATCCTAAGAGAACTAATGTTTAGGCAGAGGGTATACACATCTTTGACCCACTAAGTCCTAATATCCTTCCACACTGTAACTCAACAAACTGCTGCTGGATGCCTGCCATAGATGCAGGTGAAACGTCAGGAGAGAATGCTTCTGGAACAAGGCCATACAGCCCGAAAAACTTACAGTTACCCATTGCAGCTGTAGCACTGAACCGTGGCCAAAACTGGGTTGGAAATTCTGTTGGATGACCTTCAGCTACTCAAAGACCCATTGTTATGGGTATTCTTTTATATTTTTCATAGAAAGTAATCTATCAGGTAGAATTTGGGCTATATTACTTTATAATTCAGATCATGAACCATATTTCTGAGTGCCACTTTCTATTACTGCTATGAATAGTGCATTTAAGAAGTTAATTTCTCTCTTTTGCATTGAAAAGACTGATATAACATCTTTAGCAGATATACCAGAATATGTCTGCAATAGATTTTTTTTATCTCCTGGAATGCTGGCTTGCCATATGTACGAAGTTTATTCCGTGTAAAAGCATTAAAAATCCAACTATCCACCTACAATCGGAGAACTAGGGAATGTGCTATGAAGTTACATGAACACATCCTACTATGTGTAACATGTGTAGTTAATTTTACACATTATGTAAAGGGAATGATGCATACAGAAGGTAACAGGTTTACTGGAGGACATCTGATCTAAATCAAACTGCTTCTGCAAATCCATTATATCAACTACTAACAAGTAAGTCAACATACTGGTTGGGTATCTTTAATCTGAAATTTTAAAAAATAAAATACTCCAACATTTGAAATTGTCCACATAGATGGTTGAGATAAAGATACTATTGCTTTCTGATGGCTCAATGTACTCAAACTTTATTTAAGTGCAGAATATTTTATACACAATATTGTTAAAATATTGTGTATAAAACTACCTTCAAGCTAAATGTATAAGATGTCAATGAAACATAAATGAATATCATATTTAAACTTGGACTCCATCTCCAAGATTAGGAATACCTGCATTAAGCAAATGCAGGCATTCCAATTTTTTTTTTTTTAAAAAAACCCCAAATCCAAAACATGCCTGGTCCCAAGGATTTTAAATCATAGAATCATTGAGTTGGAAGAGACTTCGTGGGATGTTCTACCTGTACACATAAATCCCACAGATCCAATAGGTCTACTCGAGTTTGGATTCGAGCTTTAAATAGTGGAATTACAATGGGACCTTCCCTGAAGTGCCTCATATGCAACTTTCACTCATTTTAAACTATATATAACATACACCTAATTTCAACCCATTACCTCTGGAAAGTTGCAGCTTGGCTGGGAGCTAGCACATAATCCCTGCGCTGTCCCCAGACTATAATTGGAGGCAAAGTCGTTAATATGGCACATGTCCACTTCATGTGGGGTGATGTTATACTCTTCAGCCACACAATGGAGGAGGTCCACAGTGCTGCATGTGAACTGGGAGAAAATAAGAAAGAAACATGAAACAAATGTACAGAAAAGGGAGTAAATAGCTAATAATCATCATCATCATCATCATCATCATCATCATCATCATCAGCTATTAAATATATATATTCAAACATTGATGAGAAATGTGTGGTCCTACAAGTAATTTTGGGCTGCAGCTCCCACTGTCCCTCATCCCTGGCTATGATGATTAGGGATTTTGGGAGTTCAAAAACAATGTTTGGAAAGTCACAGTTTTCTCTCTTTTCTATTAGAAAGTGCATCTTCACATATAAGAAACTAAACAGGCACAGAAAACACTTCAGCCAAATTACATGAAACTGCAGAGTGATGGTAGTGATGAAACTACAGAGTGATGGTAGTGATGAATTAGCATACATGCAACATCTTATCTATGTCTTCTTGTATTTCATGTAATTAATGTGCTGTGACACTGACACGGGGAATTCAAATCTAAGGCCCTATCTACACTGACCATTTAATGCAGTTCAAAGTTTGCCTCAAATTGCAGCGGCCAGACAACTAACTCCCATAAAAGCATATTCAAAAAGCCCATAATGGGCATCAGTGTTTTGTGATTTGTGTCATCACCATCCAGCCTGAAACTGGTTCCAGGATTTCTTGTGTAATTATCTGCAAAATCACTTTCTTCAATACCAGATTGGAACTGCATTAAATGGTTAGTGCAGACATGCTGTAAGTCTTTCAATTTGAAAAAAAATTAAACTATTGGCCAGCCCATAGGACAAGTTGTGATGGGGCGCTGACTGTCCAGAAACCATGCCTAAGGACACTTCACCTGGTGAGCCACCCACCAAGACCTGTGCTTTCTTTTGCAGTACACTCTCTACCAGTTTTCTCCAATCTCCAGATGTATTGAGACTACAACTCTCACTATTGTAGACATAAAGACAAATGAATGGCACCAAGTTGAGCACAGCCATACTACAGCATCTGGATGATACATACCATGTTGGCAAAGGCTGAGAAGAAAACCAGAACAATGGTAAAGACCCCAACTATGGTGTTATTGGTCCTGGACTGAACAATCTTCCTTGAAAGGGTCTGGAGTGGAGCTGGAAAAAGCTGGAGACACAGAAAATATTTGATTTTGTAATGAAATACAAGATATACACACAAAGGAGCAACATGCACAAATAAGTATTACACATTTGCTCAGAATAAGTTAATGGGCATTTGCTTTCCCCTCAGTAATTTTATGAGAGGCATGCGATGGCTTGGCTAGCCTGAAATATTGATTTCCTGCCTCTGTTGAAAATAATGGCTTTAGGCCAAAATAGCAGAGAATGATGTGTCAAAATGAGAGCAACCAGGCTTGCATGTCTCCTGCACTTGTAAATACCCCTGTGTTCCAATAAAAGGCATCTCAGAACCACCCAAAATAAATGGATGCAAGACTAGCCCAAGTCATTTTGCTACCTGAAGTGGAGTGCACAATGCTAAATCTTGGCCTGCGTAAATAAGGCAAAAACTTCTACATGTACTCCTCCCCTTCCCTGGAAGAAAGAATGCAATAAAAAGTACCCGTCCTACCCATCCCCTATCCCCACACTACCCTCCCGCCTTCCCTTCCCTCTTTTCTCCTCCCTCTCCTTTCCCCTCTGTTCCCCTCTTCACCTACCCCTCTTCCCCCCCCCCACAATACCCTATTGTACTTACCTTGTGTTTTTATTATAAATTTGTAAAATAAAAACTAATAAAAAGAATTTTTAAAAAGGATTAAAAATTTGCTGCCCTTTCAAAACACCGCATGTTTTATGACATAGTTGCATTATGGCATAGCTGAATAGATAATTTAGACCTGCTCATGCCTAAGTGCTGTGTGATGATTTGTTCTGCTACCACAATTCCAGCTTTCAATAAATTAAATGAATCAGATTGCTGTTGTTTTAAGAAATATACTACAAAGAAAGGGAAGAATAATTAATTATAAAAGAAAAAAAGGAATGGTTATATAGGATGTAAATGTGGACTAGGCATATAAATTAATATGAGTTGACCATATTCCATAATTGCATTTTTTACAACTGATGCCTGTTTAGTACACATCCACAAGGAGTCAAAACACCGAGAACTTTCCAGTATTGTAGCCTTTTATCAGAGTAACATAGACAATGGGTAGGCCAGTCATAATTCTTCAGAATTGTGTAAGGAAATGTACAATATACAGCAACTTTTAACATAAACATTTTGTTATTTACCCAAAGTGCAATATGCTGGATTTTTTTCATGTCAGGAGTGACTTGAGAAACTGCAAGTTGCTTCTGGTATGAGAGAACTGGCCGTCTGCAAGGACGTTGCCCAGGGAATGCCAAGATGTTTTACCATCCTGTGGGAGGCTTCTCTCACGTCCCCACACAAGAAGCTGGAGCTGACAGATGAGAGCTCACCTTGTTCCCCAGATATGAACTGCTGACCTTTCAGTTAGCAGTCCTACTGGCACAAAGGTGTAACCCATTGTGCCACTGGGATATGAGACTGCTATAGTGTGCTGGAACACCTCCCTGCTCCCAATTTTAAAGGGCTAGTAGCACAGCCATTTGGAAGAGCCTGGAATAACCACCACACCATCTCTAAAATGTCACCAATTAATAAATACACCAGATTTTGGGTGATCCTTGAGACAAATTATAGCCATGAATGTTGACAAATTTCCTGAAAGCTCAGAACTGGGAGGCACAAGAGAAGGATCTTGTATTAAATCTGAACATTCCACAAGGGTTTACTAACCTCTTATCAGTTTACATAGTCTTCCAAAACAATCAGTAATAACAAAAAAAATAATAAATGAATAAATTTAAATACTGCAGGGATTCAGCCACAGCTCCCCAGCAGAAAAACCCCACAATTTTTTTTTAAAAAAACTACTTTTTTAATCTGAGAAAATACCTCTCTAATACTCTCTAGGTCCCCCAGCACAACTCTACGTCTGGTGCAAATTGATCATAGAGACGCATTGGAGAACTTAGAGATTCTTAAAGAGATCATATTAATCAGATCTGTGAACAATCAAATCTACAAAAGTTAAACCTGCAAATATGGAAGGCTGATTGTGCTTATTCCATGAGATTTCAGGGCAGCACACAAGTAAAATCAGTGAAAATTGTTGAAAACAATAAAAATAACTAAGTAGACTGAAATCATATTAAATACATGTTTAAATGTTTAAAAAGATTCAAATTATTTAAAACCATGTGCATGGACATTTAGGAATAAATAAGTTAGTCCTCAAATCAGCGAGGTCTCAAAGTGGTCAAGGAAAAACAGGGGTTGAGGTGAGGAAAGCGGAGAAGACCCTCTCTCATACACATATTGACTCCCCTTTTCTTGTCCTATTTAGGGAGGCAATCTTTTCATGGGTTGCTTCTCCTCCAATTTGCCTCACCTGTTTTTCGGTTTGACTTCTTCAAATTGCCTATCTATATTTTCAAAATGTCACAAATCCAATAAGACACCAAGAAGATACTATTAATCTAGAATGCAGCCACTAAAAAGCTTCCCTGCTGAGTGTTAATTTCACTTCGCCACAGTACTCCCCAATTCCATCCCTAGAGACAAATAGCTTGAAAATCCATCATTATTACTATACCAACTAGACTTCCAAGTAACTTCTGTTTTAAAAAAACAAAGACAAATGGCTTTAATACAGCTTTTTGGGTGATGACTAACCACTTTACCCTTTTTTGCTCCCCTTTCTTCTTGCACAGTTAGAGGGACATTTTGCTTCCTACACGAGAATAATTATAAACTGTTTGATGACAGGAGAGCTACTTGTTGGTGAAGAGAGAGAAACAACTGGGAGCAATGCTTGAGCTGCTACTTTCCATTTTATCTCCTAGACAGAAAGTAGGGTAGAAATAAAGGACTAGTTTGGTGGTAGAGAAGCACAGCATGCCTAAAGTTGTGGAGATGCTTTGAAAAATCTGGCAATTGTTTATTCAAGCTCTGTTTAGTATTATAAATGTGCTAGCCTAACAGCTTTTGGTGCTACAGATGAATCACACAAAAATAGCACTATAGCAAAGAAAAAAATGTAGATTATGTACAACATTGGGAGCAGGATTCTCTTGCTACCCATTCATTCCCGAAAGGTTTTTAGAACACAGTAAGAAGGGTCTGCCTAATCAAATTCCCATTAAGCTATGAAATAAATCAAGGACTAGATAATAACAGGTTCTCAGTGAACTGTCTCTCAGGCATTTATCATATTACCAAGTGTCAGAGTTTTAACTATTTCCTTCTGCTTCACAGAGTCAGCAGAAGATGTTTTCTTGTTTAATGGAGAGCAGCAAATGCCACTCGCTCCCTCATCATGGTATTTCTTTTCATTTATTTGTTTATTGCATTAACATATTTATATCCCATCCTGTATCATCAGATCTCAGAGTAATGTACAAATAAAATCCATGTAAAAACTGGCACATGACACAGAAAAGCTTGTAAGTACATTTCCTTAGACATAGCATTAATACGACAAAGCGAATTATCTGACCTTTCCCAAATTCTGCCACAATCAGAAGACTACAAATTCACATGTTATGAAAAAGTATGAAAATAATTTCATCATTAAAAATAATGTTCTATTTTTGGACTCTGGAGTCTTAGGTCATTAAAGGAGACTAGATTGGGACAGGAAAATTGGAATAAGTTAGGATTAGAATAGTTTGACAGAATTTTATTTATTTTTAATTTGCTTAATTTTTATCCCACCTTTCCCCTGAAAGAAGGAATTGTAAGAAGATGGGTTACCACAGATGGGTTTCATGGGTTGAGATACTACAGGATATGTTGCTGGAGATGGTTCAGTACAAATGTGAAATTGTTCCCCTCCTCCAAAAACTTAAGCAAACAGTGATGTACAGTCATATGTACACACATTTTATATAAAGAAAAGAAAGAACAAACCTGACATTGATTGATTAGATTGACAAAAGAAGCCTAGTCTACCATGTTAAAATCTGTCAGCACAATGGATCTAGTATCCAAATTTATCAACTGACATTTGATTCAATAGAATGGTGCAGACAAACATACAAAATGGAAAGGCTTAAATACAATTCAATCAATGTTTGGCAATGGCTCATAACTTTTTTTGGGTGGGTTTTTAAAAATATTTTCTTGAGCAGACTTTCACTTCCAAGTTGATTTGGGCAGGGACCACTTAAGTTCAGTCTTACTAATAGGCACCTCTTTAGGATGGATTTTCTCTGGTGTTCAGTAATAGCAAACGCTACTCACAGAACAGGAAACAAGAGTCTATAGAGCTATCAGAGCTACCAGCCTCAAATATATCTTCTGGAACTCCAACTATGCTGAAAATGGAATAACCAATGAGTTTTTGATTTAACCTGCTGAACACAAAACATTTCAGAGTATCTGCTATCATGAATTGAACCCTAACCAGTAGTATGACTGAACTTGTTGATGAAGTCTGGTACACGGGCAAAACCCAATCAACGTGGATTGGTCCTCCCGTTCTGTCCAAAATTTGCTAAGGAACTTGGAAGAAAATGATCATGCCA